TCATAATATGCAGCACAAATGAATGGGGATTTTGAGGTGCCTCATTAAGTTGTCTGACTTCTTTTGTTTAGAAATATAGCTTTGATAACTTTGGGCTTATCCTCTAATATCTGTAGAATGAAGAATGCAGTTAAAAAGATGTCCAATTTAATTTACACTCCAAGAAAATTCATAGAAATTAGGGGTTTAACATAACAAAAGAAGACGAAGAAGAAACTAAAATCAGAGTGCTCAAGTTCCAACATAGCCCGTACTTTAATTTCTGCCCAACGTTGTTTAAATATTATCTCTAGAATTTAGCCTAAATTTCGAAGTTGTGAGGCTAATGTTTTAATCTTTTTTCCGTGTAGTTATACATCAAGAATTGAATCATAAAAAGTTAAGACAAAAATATAGAAAAATAAAGGCCTACATTCCCAAAGAGCCGCAATGGCAGAGGCTATCCGCAGTCTGATATCTCAATCTTCTTGGCCTTGAAAATCCTCCCGCAAAACCAATTGAAGAGGAAAACTGCAGTGCTAAGATTGCACCCAAAATTAAAACTAAAATATTTCATCAGAGGTTGCTAGAAATGAATTTGAAAATGTTGTGCATAGGACGCGCTTAATGGCACTCTCAGCTACCTTGCAAGTTGGACTTAATCGGTAGCTTAGAAGTACTCGGCAGTAGAAATATATAACACAATTAACTTCATTCGATTTCAAATAATTAACAAAATTAAAAATATTAAATTTAAAGGTGAAAACAGAGAAGAAGGAACTGAAAACCTTTGTCCGAATGAATAAATTTGAAAGCCACCAGGAATCCCCATCCTTATTAAACTTCATCCCCTTCTTCTGATGATGGCATTCAAATGTAATGGGTGTCAGATCTGCATATCAGGAAGTTGAAAGGAAAAGAATTGCTAATTGGAATTAGTTGGATAATGGTAAAGCTATTATTATCGGAACTTCAAAATTAGAAAGAAAAAACATTCAATCAGCGGCTAGGCTACTTACCTACGCCGGCGTGCTCTCTCTCCAGCTACGGCGATGTGCTGATTGGAATTGGATGGCGATCGTCGACGGTGCATGACTTCGCCCTTGTATGATCGAAGACGGCGGTGCATGACTTCGCCCTTGTATGATCGAAGACGGTGAAGCGGCTGCGAAAAGAGAAGAAAGAACAGGTGGATCTGACGGAAAACTATGTTCATACGCTTCCTCTCTCTCTCTCTCTCGAGATGTGTACGCAAGAAGGTGGCCGGATCTGACGGAAATACCCAGCGACTTAGCTTCTCCCATACTCTTTCTCTTATCACATGAGTATGCAGGAAGCTTCACCAGATATTTTTATCCAATGTGCGGTCTAAATTTAGTGGCTACTGTAGCTTATCAAATGGGCGGGAATACTGTTCCTAAAACCCTCTTACCATTGTATATAGAAAGATTAGTCAAATAGTAGTACACTTTGATCATAAATTGTGAGAAAAATATATTTAATTACTCCGGGGTATAATATAATAACTTCAATATAATTGGGCTAGTTTTGATATATCAAAATCTAATATCACTTATTTATTGAGGTTATGTTTAATATGTGGTCAAAGAGTATTGTTGTTTGACCAAAAATCAAAACAAAAAAGTTTTTTAGGACCGAAGAGACTATTTCGTAGGACGAATATGCCAAGTAATAATATACTATCGGGAGTATTTATCAACCAATTTCATTTAAAAAAAATTAAAAAATGCATTTTTTTAGTCATGTATCGCTTAGAAAGTTTTTAATGCTGTAAATATTAAGTGAATTCGGTCATTTTTTAATGCAATTATATCTCATGAGTTGGCACAGAATTTGGATGTTGAAATCATTAACATATTTGGAAAATTAAACTTTAGTATGGAAAAAGGTAAAAATAAAAAAAAAGGTAAGAATGAAAGAATTATGGAAGAAAATTAATGGAGATCAAACTACTCAAAAGAAAAAGAGTAAAATGTGGAAAGAATATTTTCGTTTTTGGAAAATTTTTATTTTAAATTTTACACATTGGACTGACTAACATTTATTAGCTATGTCCCGAATTAATCATTATACTTTTCATTTTAGATTTTCAATAAAAACAAGCAATACATTTTTTGTATAAATTTGACACAATATAATTATTAATAAAATGAAAATTTGTGTAGAAAAAAGATCAAGGAAAAATAATATATACCACACAATATTTTCTTTAAAAATAAAGTTGTATTTTGTAATGAATTTGAATTACAGAATTATGGTAGTAGTGTTCAGGAAATGTCATTTCATCTCAATTCTTGCATTTTAATTTTCAAAATTTGAATTATTGAATTTCAAATGACAAGGGTAAGCATATGAATTTGCAATTGAGCTTTGATATGAATTAGAAAAATTTGTCTCAATTCGAAATTCAAATTTTTAGGATTCTCCGAACATGAAATTTAAACTTCAATTTCCATACATACATACCGCTATACAGAGTAGAATACAGTAAAAAATACAACTTTTTTTGAGGCAGTAAAAATACAACTTAGATATTCAGCAATGTATAATATAAAAACCACAAATTCTAAAATTCATTTTATTGTAAATAGAGATAAATAGACACATTAGTTCAATAATATTGTCATTAACATTCTGCCACATACAAAGTATTTATGTTCTAGCTTTTATTTAATTTTATTAATGTTCCATACTAAAAATTGCATTCCTTTTAAGTAAAAGATTGTGTGCTTGTCTGCTTGACCTATTTTTCTTTCTCTTCATAAATATTGATAATGATAATTTAATTTTCCCTTATATGCCTCTGTCTCAGAAGGAATGACACACTTCACTATTCAAACATCACGAGATTTTTTTATTTATTTGTGTGTTGCATTGATTATTGATAAAATAAAAAAATTCTTGTCATATCTTGTTTTGTAAAACTTTTGACGTAGTTTTTAAATATACATTTCTATTTTTTATTTCTGTATACATCTGTAAATAAAATAAATTGAAAAAATAAATCTTTAATCGAAGTAGAGCTTAGGGTGAAAAAAAGGATAAAACATCGAAGAGCAATAAGTAAATTGATGTTGGAAGTTTATAATTTAAACTTTTGGACATATGCTATGATAAAATACAAATTCTTATGCGGTCTTAACGTCCACGTACACTCATTAGATGCACTTAAGTATATAAAGGTCTTGTTTGGGAATAACATTTTCTATTAACGTTAGCGTTTTGAATAAAATTTTAACGGTGTAGATTAATTCTGAAAACGCTAATGCTAAAGGCTATCGTCAGATAGCTTTTTCAAAATGTTAACCTCTAATGCTGATATCAAACGGGATAAAACACCATAAAATGCTTGAGCTTTTTACAAAATAGAAAAGATTCACTTGTAACTCCATAAAAAATGTGAGAAGATCCACATTTTATATGTCGATCTGAGAGCCATAAAAGCGCAACTCATGATAAAGATGTACTTTCAATGTTTTCAAACCTATTTCCCTTCTTTTTTTTCAAAAAAAAAAGAAAGTATGTGGCGGTATCTATCAGAGGAAGAAAACAAATTTTTGGTTCAGCTAGCCTCATTAACCACAGAAAAAAGCGTAGGACAACCACACTATTATGTCGGATACCGATTCTGAATTATGAATTCTTCAAAAAATGCTTGAATTCAAAACATTCTTAAGCTAGTTTCCAACACATTTCCAGCACAACATATCCCGATTTTTAAGTATGCGTTTATCGGTCGATCATGTTCGAAGAGTGTACCTCAAGTGATTGAAAAAATGTGTATAAACCGAAACATGATTTCGACTCATGATAATAACGATAAAAATGAGATACCCTATAACTTTTGTATCAAGTATCAAGTACTACCATTCAATCTAAATTATAGCTCAATTTATTTTTTTATTCCGGCCGGTATTTTTTTTTCTTTTAAATGTGCGTGCATCATAGTTGACCACTTGACCATACATAGCCAGCCACCATATAGCAGCCCAGGATGACCATTCAGATCTGGTAAAAATTCAACAGCTCTAATAATAACAATACCGGATATTTTATCCACAAATAATATTTTCATTTATTTTTACATTGATTTTAATATAATAATCTGACCATTAATATCTAACTTATTCATGAATATATTTTATGAAAATTCAATATTTCAAAACTTTTAATATATATCATATTTATATCGAAACATAATGTAATTTTCTCATCTATCAAGATCAGATTTCACAAATTTTGACATCGAAAAATCAAAAGAGAATATCATTTCCAGACGAAGGGAATAATAAATAAAGAACCATGCTAAAAAATTCGCCATTTGGTGTGTACTAAGTTGTACACTCGTACTTTAAATTACACCGGTACACAGTGGCACAAATGGACGTTGTAGTCGAAAAGTTTCACACTAACATCTAGTATCAGATTGTGCCGTTGCAAAACACTAGTGTATAATTTGGTGTGCAGCAAATAGTGTTCGGGATATATAAAACACAAACTAAAATAATACTCCGTACCCCGTATCTCAATACTTGCTCTATCTCAAATTAGATTACACAATGACTATTTTATTCTCCCGATTACTTTACTCCATTCATTTTTTTGTTTTATCGATCATTTGATAAAATAAAATATTTTTATCACATTTTATTTTATAAAATCTTTGATAAAGTTTTAATTAATTTTCATATTCTCATTTATAAATTTGTAAATAAATTGAATTTAAAAAGCACAGAGTTTTATAGATTTTTTTGAATAATGTAGAGAGTAATATAATTTGAAAGAGAGATGGAAAGAAAATAAAAAAATTACTGTAAAATAAAATCATACGAGTATATGTGAACTACCTAATTCGTGCCACGTGTATCGTCTCCCTCCATCTCTCATCTACCCCTCCATTCCTTTCTACAACTGCATTCTTAAATAAATACACAGTACATCTCTCTCTTCTCTCTAGTCTCTATACATCTATCTATACATACATTTCCTCTGTATCTATATATCTGTATATATATATATATATACCTGGGTCAATTGATTCTCCTCACAATTCCCCCCTGAGTTTTTACGGAGCGGATTCGCCGATCCCGCGCAATTCATCAAGCTCAGGTGCATTTCGCAGCATTTCATTAAATTCGTCTTCGATCTGTTGTTTTCATCATTCCTCGTTTCGGATTCGATATTTGTGCCTCTGTTTTGCGGTTCCTGCTCGAATTGTATGCATTTGTGTCTGATCATTTCTCGTTCTGGTTCGGGGGTTCATCCGAAGATCTGGGGCTAGTTTAGTTGTCGTTGTCTTGCTTTGCTCTCTTGCTGGTGTTAGTTAATCACCTTGGATTTTTTTTTGTTTTGGTTTACTATGCATTCATTATTTTAGGGAGTTGACTTACTTTTGGAAAGGAATGTGTTGAGATCTACTTTGTGTATACCATTGGTGATGATCTTTTGGATAAAGATATCTTTTTTCAGTTTTTGTTGTTTTCTCCAACATTGAAAATTAAGAATGGGTAGGTTTGGTTATAGCATGTGAGTTTAGAACCTAGACGACAGCTTTTTGATCTTTGAATCTTAAAGATTTTGCTCTCTGAGAGGTCAATGTTATCTTTTGGAACAACAACTGAGTTGGAATTGTAAGAGAATGGGTATAAGACAATGCATTCTTTAAATGAGGGCTTGATTGATATATATTACAGGGTATGGAGGTTTTTTCTGATATTGAATGTTTTGACAGTTGTGAATTCATTGGGAACCATGGCAACTGGACAACTTTTTTCCAAGACCACCCAGGCATTGTTTTATAACTTCAAGCAACTTCCCATCCAACGGATGCTTGATTTCGATTTCCTTTGTGGTGCGTATGATACCATGTACTTCAATTCCAGTAATTTGTATGAAATAGATTCTCAAGCAATGCATCATGCATTGCTTAACTTATCAATCAACAATTACTTACTATTACACACTTAACAGGGAGAGAAACGCCTTCTGTTGCTGGAATCATAAATCCTGGTTCAGAGGGATTCCAAAAGCTCTTCTTCGGTCAGGAGGAGATTGCAATCCCAGTACATTCAACGTGCGTTTGCTCATTCTCAACCTCTCCAATTGTTTTTTCCTTTTGTTTGCCTGCTAGTTGAAAATATTTGTTGAAATCCTGAAAGGTTCTTGCAATCTGGCCAATGTGCAAGTTCCAGACTTTGCTGTCTTCTAATTGTGGGATTTTGTGGCATTTCTAAATATTTAACTGTTTTCCTCTAATGAAACTATTGAATTAATGTTAAGTTGTTTTCGATGTTACAAAAAATTCTTAAACTATAAAGAACATTTATGAGTACTAGTGTACTAAGCATTGGCAATGGAGTTGCAACTTTCTATTTCCCAAAGAATGAATGCAGATAAGAGTATATCATCTGAGTTGTGTGGTTAAACTTGTAGCTATGAAGTATGTTACTACACTGCACTCATGCTTAGTTCTAGATTTTCCCTTACAATGTAAATATCTTCTAATTTTCTTACGCACACTTTTTCTCCCAAAACAGCATTGAAGCCGCATCCGCTGCTCATCCTACAGCTGATGTATTCATTAACTTTGCATCATTTAGAAGGTTAAATCTCTTTCTTCTTCTTTCTCCATTCCAAATCATTTGCATATATAGGGTTTCTTATATCTCTATCTTGAATGTATTGCAGTGCTGCCGCTTCCTCCATGGCTGCTCTCAAACAGCCAACTATCAGAGTTGTGGCAATCATAGCTGAAGGTGTGCCTGAGTCAGACACCAAACAGTTGATAGCTTATGCAAAGGCAAACAACAAGGTAAAGTTATTTCATAATATCCTTTGTCAATAAGCAATGTGTTTATGTCCATGATATAATGTTTGAATGAGGATATCGTGACCGATCTTGCTCTCTTGTTTTGTGGATCAGTAGGTTATTATATCAAACCCATATTATTGCACTTTCAGGTTGTTATTGGTCCAGCTACAGTTGGAGGAATTCAAGCTGGTGCGTTTAGAATTGGTGACACTGCTGGAACAATTGACAATATTATTCAATGCAAGCTGTACAGACCTGGATCTGTTGGATTTGTCTCCAAATCAGTGAGTATTTAATAAATGCTCACTCATTATCTGATATCTAATATTCTAATGTGTACATTTTGATCAGTGATAAAATATTCTTCCACATTACCACTTGTCGTATATGATGACAAGGCTATTGACATCCATTGCCTTGTGTTTGGCTTTATTTCTAGCATTCTAAATGTACCATATGATCAAAATAGGCTTTATGGCTCTTTCTTTGTTCTTTGCTTCTTTTTTTAGAGGGCATTGGATAATCCAACTTAAAGGCTTGCTAGATGTTAGATATCTAAAGAAGAAGATATTGATCTCTCCCTGCTTGTAGCAGGAAGAAAGGAGAGTAGTCCGTGACTAGCTTCTCATAATTAGAGTTTTGGTTTCTTACATTGATGATTTTATTAATGATTGTGTAAGTATAAACAGGCAAAGTCTCACAAGATACCTACTACTAGTAGGACTTGCCTAAATGTATTTCTATCCTGCATAGATCTGATTCATCTCCATCACTGCACTAGGCCCATGTGGATGCCCAGTGCTTTTTTTCTACATGGATTGCATGTCATACATTTGAAGCTAATGCCATGTTGTATCTAACCTGCATCATATTAGCAGCAGACAACCACTCTTTTAGAACCCATACGCAAATGATTTACAATTTGAAAATAAAACAGCACTGTTACAACTGTATACGAGTATTAAAGTAGATAATGCTTTCAAACTTTCCCAGACCTGTTTAATAGTTGATTCCAAAACTAAGGGATTAAGGACGATATTGAGTTGAACATTTGATTGTTGTTTCCAGAGTAATATTGTTTCTGTTAAATACAGGGCGGCATGTCAAATGAAATGTACAATACCATAGCCAGAGTGACAGATGGAATCTATGAAGGTGTGCCATTTTACTCCATTTTTTGTGATTACTAATTATAGTGGTTCTTGTATAAGTTTTAATCCTGTAACCTATGATAAAAATTGAGTTTTTTTCATCACTGCAGGTATTGCAATAGGAGGAGATGTGTTTCCTGGCTCAACGCTATCTGATCATGTTCTGCGATTTAACAATATTCCACAGGTAATTTGTTTATTCTCCAACCCACTCCTTGAAAAGGGTCTGCTTCATGAGTTGCAATACTTTATTTTTTTATTTATTTATTTGCAATAAAAGGAGTATCTTTAACGTCTAATAGATAATGTGACTTTGGATGGAAAATAATATGTTAAAATCATAAAGTAATCAATCTTCAAGAACTGATGCCAACATTCCTAATCTCTTAAATAAATTAAGCCTGAGTTTCCACTTCTGTAATTCTTTCAAGCGTGATGCTCAATAGAGAAATAATAACTATGCAAATTTTCTAATGTTGCAATGTGTTTTTACCATATTTAAATTTAAGCTCGTTGCATATACGTTTACCTTTTATTGTTTGCTTTTGGTGTGCACCAGGTAAAACTGATAGTTGTTCTTGGGGAACTTGGTGGAAGGGATGAATACTCCTTAGTTGAAGCCCTCAAACAAGGAAAGATTAATAAGCCTGTGGTTGCTTGGGTCAGTGGTACTTGTGCAAGGCTCTTCAAGTCTGAAGTTCAGTTTGGTCATGCGGTGAGCTACAAACCTTCATATCCCCATAAGTATAAGTGCTGCTGAAGCTCACAGAGAAGGATACAACATAGTATTGCTAGCCATTTCTCATGTAACCCATGCCATCTTGCTAATTTCTCTTGATAATGGTTTGTTACAGGGAGCAAAAAGTGGTGGTGAATTAGAATCTGCACAAGCAAAGAATCAAGCCCTACAAGATGCTGGAGCAGTGGTCCCCACCTCATACGAAGCTTTTGAAGGAGCAATCAAAGAAACATTTCAGAAATTGGTAGACACTCATCTCTCTCCGAATTGCCAGACTTTTATATTTGTCTTGGTAACCACCACCACATTTTGTTTGAGTAGGTCGATGCAGGAAAGATTGCTCCCCTGAAGGAAGTGACACCTCCACAAATTCCTGAGGATCTTAACACTGCAATTAAGAGTGGGAAAGTTCGAGCTCCTACACATATTATTTCTACTATCTCAGATGATAGAGGTAGGATTTTAAATTTCTTAGTGCGTGTTTGGGATGATTTATTTCAACGAATAAGTACATTTCATAGGAAGATAAGTACTTACGTTTCAAAAAAAATAAATAAAAACAGAAGTGTTTTGGGGTAAGGAAATTAAGAAATGTGATTTTATTAAAGTTAGGAAGGCACCTTTTTGTAATAAAAGCATTTATAGCATAACTATTCCCAAACAGGCTCTAATATTTTGGAATTTGGTCACTCTGTACAAGTGAATGTGCTGAATGTCTATATCCTCAATTCACAGGTGAAGAGCCATGCTACGCTGGTGTTGCAATGTCCTCTATTATTGAACAAGGATTAGGTGTGGGTGATGTCATTTCCCTATTGTGGTTCAAACGTAGCCTTCCTCGTTACTGTGCACGCTTTATTGAGGTATTTTCATGGCTCTTTTGTCCACACGTGTCTTTCTTTTCTTCAGGCTATGTATTAGCTTATGTTTTTTTCTTATTGTGCTCTTTTGACACTATAATGTCTATACCTAAACATTTGCCATTGATTTGTCCAGATTTGCATCATGTTGTGTGCTGATCATGGACCTTGTGTATCTGGGGCCCACAACACCATTGTAACTGCCAGGGCAGGAAAAGATCTAGTGTCCAGCCTTGTTTCTGGTATGTATGTTATGTCATGGTCGACTTTCATAATGTGGGTTTGCCATATGCATTCAACTAGTTGACTAATAAGGGGTTATACCACAGGGTTGCTAACTATTGGTCCTCGTTTTGGTGGTGCTATTGATGATGCGGCTCGGTACTTCAAAGATGCTTATGACCGGGTGAGTGTTGTCAGCTCATATCAAAAGAACGCTGCCAAGTAGATCATAGGAAAAAGTTTGAAAACCATCTTTTTGCCCTTTGGGCTATGTTTGGGTCCCGGAAAAGATTCTAGGGAAAGAAAAACAAATTGCTCATGAAAATTATTTCCTTATGTTCTCGAAAATATAGTGGGAATGGGAATATGATTATTTTCTTATGTTCTTGGAAATGCGATTGGAATTTACTTTTACCATGGAATATTTAAAAGAATATCGAATCCAATTTAGACCATTTAAAATTTACATAAACTTATATTATGTAGCCTTAATAGTTTACATAATTAAGTACTCCGTGTATGAATAAAACAAGCATCAACAAGTGATTGATTGAGTGGAAATGTAGGGAAAGACAATATGACAACATTTTTCTTCGTATTTTCCTTCCCTGGCATTTTCCAGTTTCCAAACGGACCTTTGAGATTTTTCAAAGTTGACCGTTGTGCTGCTGGCATTTTGCAGGGCCTTACACCTTATGAATTTGTGGAAAGCATGAAGAAGAAAGGCATTCGGGTGCCAGGAATTGGTCACNCAAAAAAACTCACCTGTTTGAACTGAGGTTTTGCGAGCTCGGTCTATTATACTTCGTATATCTTGACAAACATGATGAGATATAAATGTAATAGTCACACATTAATCTTAATCTTAATTTTTTTTTTGAACACATAATCTTAATCTTATAATAATTGTAAAATCTCAAATATACATCTAGCCATAGAGGAATAGACTATTGGCCTTCAAAGTTTTTCCTATATTTTGTTCTGAGTTTTGCCTCTTCGGCCTGTATGCAATGTATGTATATAGGATAAAGAGAGGTGACAACAGAGACAAGAGAGTGGAACTGCTACAGCGATACGCCCGCGAAAACTTCCCATCTGTCAAGTACATGGAGTACGCGGTCGAGGTTGAAACCTACACACTCTCCAAGGCAAACAACCTCGTCCTCAATGTCGACGGTGCCATCGGATCGCTCTTCTTGGATCTCTTAGCTGGTAGTGGGATGTTCACTAAGCCCGAGATCGACGAGATTGTCGGGATCGGTTACCTCAATGGGCTTTTTGTCCTCGCCCGCTCCATCGGTCTCATCGGGTGAGCCACCTCATCTTAGCTCATTCTCACTTTCGAAAACTACGATTATGACACCCGGTCCATTTGGCACCCCCCCCCCAAGTTTCTCCAATTGCAAACCCCAATTCTGGTTGACATTATTTTGGTCAATAATGTTGACCAAAATTGGGGGTTGCATTTCGTGGGGATAAGAACGACTTTGGGGTCGAACGGAGCGTCGTAGGACATCCAAATGGACTAAAATGACACTAGTGCCCAGTGGGATTTGTTTGATTTAATGATCTTTTTTTATTATCAGGCACACATTTGACCAGAAGAGATTGAAGCAGCCCCTATACCGCCACCCGTGGGAAGACGTTCTCTACACCAAGTGAAAACCCTTTTGTTTCAATCTTCTCATCATTGATTCCAGTTTTTAATGTCATCCACGCATGAATTGAATTATGTGACTTTTATGATATACACCTCAATTTTTTTTTTGTGACATTATTATGGAGGATATAATTTTTTTTATATATTATATTTTGCACTTAATTATATGACTTCTTCTGGGGTTGAACATCTGGAAATTTTGGTCTTAATGGAGTTTAAAGAAAAATATTGAAAAGTGAAAAAATATATAATTAAATACGGGAGAAATTTTGCATGTCATATGTTCATTACCAAAAAAACAAAATAAAACGAGATATGTTTTTTTGAGATGCCTAAAAGTGGGTAAATTATTTTAGGACGGATGAGTAGTTTATAAAAAATTTACTTCGGGTGGGTTACTTTCCAATGTATTTATGTTAAAAGTTAGAGAAATCATTAAACAAATGCTGATAATCTATTTCCATATATCAAAATTTAAAATAGGAGGGACTAATTTCTTAAACATGAATAAATACTATTGCAATCTTATTACAACCCCAACTATATTAGGAAGCTGTCAACAAAGACTTGCCAATATATTCCCTACTCAACAAAAATACCTCCAAATTACCAACCAAAGGAAATTGCCTTATGGTATGTTTGAGAACATGGATTTGGATTTCAAATTCGGATTTGGCTTAAATTCCATGTTTGAGAAACTTAAGCATTTTAAATTTGGATTTGAATCAAATTCTTTACATTCAAAACCAAGCTTAATTTGAAATCCATGCACCTCCCCTTGTCATTTGAAATTCAGGATTTCAAATTTTGAAATTGAAATACATGAATTGAAATGAAATGCTAGTTGCCAAACACTACCTTAAATAAGACTAAAATATAGAAAAAATATCAAAATAATAATTCTATATTTTTATTCTCTAAATAGGTGTTTGCATTTTACGTAATATACATGGTCATGATTGATAATGTAAATGCATTTTAACTTTTTTTTCAAAAATATAAATATGAAATTTATATTGTGGTATATTTTTATTCTTACTTTAATCTTTTTTCACGTTACCCAAATGTTTTTCTTTCATGGGATTCGTGATAACCAAAAAAGAGTAATTGAACCAAAAATCAAAGCTATCATAGACAATAAAATCATGATGAAGAATTTAACTTTGTACTTCCACCCGCCCCTCACCCCAAGTTTAGGTGGGCTTGACTCACTCATGGATCGGGTTTAACTCGATCCCTTTCACAAGGGTTTCGCTCTAACCCAATAACTTGGGCCTCGATGATCCAAGTCTAATTTCAATTTAAAGAACAAAATGTTTAATTTCAGACAAATGAATTGTAGGTAAATTCTTTTTATTCAATTGATTTTTTATTTCAAACAAAAAAATTTGATCAAAAAATTGTAAAAAATAGTTTTAAAAATTACTTGAAAAACATTTATGAAAAAAGAGAAGAAAAAAGAAAGGGCAATGGTGCTCATTTCCAATTTCATAGAGCAACGAAGCTATTCACTTGTTATTCGAAAGATTTGAAGGGTATTTTAGTCTAGAAGAGCATTAGTGTAGGAATATCGGAACTATAAGGAGCAACGATATTAATTTTAAAACCATAGTGGATAACGGTATACATTTATTAAACAACATAGGGTATTGATGGAATACACTCATTGTTAAAGTGATCTGAGAAATGTTAAAATGGAAAGTGATGTGAAATCGAGTAAAAATGTTCTTACAAAACTCCTACTTTCTTGTGTTGCTTTGATTAAATGACTAGAAAAGAAAGTATAAGTAAAAATACGTTAATTTTAGATTTTTAGGGACTAGAAATAAAATTTCTCAAGTTAAAAAATTGATGGATAAGAAACAAAATGCGCTAAATTTATCAGGACCAAAAGTATGGTCAATATATGTTTCACTAAAATATACGGATCATTTTTTTACACGAATGAGTTTATTAAGAAAAAGTTTGGAAAGGATGAGCTCCATTTGTGAGGACCCCTCATACTCGATTGGACGATCACAGGAAAGAGGTAAATTGAACGTTAATTACAAATTGGTGGCAAGAATAAAGCTTGTAGCTGGTATTTGCAAAGGTCATATGTTTAACATAATTGCCTCCCAACGCAGTTTCTAGAAATCAAATTTGGGTCTTACCCCTTGGGCACACCTTGCCTTGTCAACTGCGCAACACCCACCCACACCCACAGGCAAGAAAAAGTTTAGAAGAATCATAAACAAAATTTACTTATTCCCCCCGTTCTTTAAAGATTGTCACGATTTGATTTTTTTAGGTCAAATTGTGGCACCATTTGATTATAAATTATGCAAAATTATATTTAATTATAATGTAAATTTAATAAAATAATTTTTATTTGAAAACATAATTTTGAAATATCAAATTTTTATAATATTTAATTATTTTAAACTAAATTTAATTTATGATCAAAAAGTGACTTAGTTTAACTAAAATATTCAAACTATGACAGTCTTTTAGGATTGATGGATTATTTTATAGCGACTTAAAAACATTTAATATAAAAAAATCAAAGTCAAAAAAATGCACCCAAGGAAGATAGATGGAGATAGTGCATTTTTTAGGTGGACCATAAAATTGATTGACAAAATGTAAGAGCGCATTAGATTATACTAAGAGCTTGTTCTTTAAGACTAGAAAAAAAGTTGGATGTTGGAAAAAACAGGAATGAACTGGAAAAACTAGAAGAAACGTGAACAACTAAAAAGAGGTGAAAGAAACTAGAAGGAACTGGAAAGGAATGGAAGAACTGGAAGAAACGAGAAGGAATTGGAAAAACTTCAAAAAAATTGGGAAACTTAAAAAAAACTTTAAAAGTTTTTATTTTAGTGAATTTTTATATTATTCTCATTCTAATTCTTGTTGTTATAAATTATTATTATTATTATTATTATTATTACTATCATCATCATGTTATCTTAATAAATGCCTTTAAGATAATAAAAATAATGTTATTTTTCATGCACAAAAAACTAATTTTGCTAAAACAAATAATTATAATATAAAGTTAACATAAATATCAAAATTTTAAATTTTAAAGCGTTATTGTAGTTACGTTGTACCTCAATTTATTTATATAGTATTTATAAATAATATCTTTGTAATTATACTTTATACATCATATTACAATATTTTGTTTTTAAATATCAGACATGTCACATAATGTAATCAAACCTATTTTTTCTTTCATGATTGACATTTTATTTTATTTTTGTAACTTCTAATTTTAGAATAAATACATAGAACTTTATTCCATATTTTTTATGTTTTACATTTTTTTGACTCCTATTTTATTCTTTTTCTCTAAACTATTTTGACTTTTAAATTTTTTGTTATTAGAATTAGAAAAATGAGAAAAATTTGAGTAATAAAAAGAAAGGTGAGGGGTCTTATATAATGTTAAATTAATAAAATGTTCCATGTAACTATTTTATCGATAATCTGTTTAATATAGTTTAAAATAATAATGTTTTCCTGTTTTATCGTGTAGATTAATTATAAAAAATTTTCTTATTCATATTAAAAAGTTGAAGAACAAAGAGTGTGAGTCGTAAAAATAGTGAAATGAAAAAAATAATTTATAAACTATAGTTATGAATATAAGAGTTGTAATAATAATAATACTAATAATAATAATAATAATAATAATAATATGTTAAAAATAAAGATAATAGAAATATTGTTATGAACAAAATGATACAGATATACCTTGATAAGAACACAAATGAAAGATCAAAGTGCAATGGAGAATGAAAAGAGAAAGAATGCAATGAGAGACTAAAGAGATGGATATCACATTTCAACATATGGAGCCTCTATATATAGGCTTACAAAGGGGAAAAGCAAAGAACATGGAGAACATCAAAAGACATTATTTGTACATAACATAATAATAATAATAGTAATAATAATAATAATAATAATAATAATAATCACATTAAAAATATTTCATTTTTAGAGTAATTAGTTGGGAAGTAGAAAAAGTTTGAAGAAAACGAGAATAATTGAAAGAAACTTGAAGGAACTAGAAAAAACTGGAAGAAACTAGAAGAAACTGTAAGAAACTTAAAGAAACTGGAAGAAACTCAAAGGAACATGAAGTTAAGATTTTAAGTCCTAAAGAACACACTCTAAGAGAAATTATTGGTTTGCAAACACAATAGTCACAAACTTCAAAAGCTTACTATTTGTGAATTTCAATAAAAAAAATAAGTATTCTAAAATAATTTCAAAAGAGAATTTAAACTATAAATAGTGAATTCGTGAAGTTTGTGACCATTCTGTTTGTAAACATATCATTCAAGACGGAAGTAAATAGAACGTAGATGCCTAGATGGCAGAATTAAATATTACGAGTACTTGGTGTACAAACTTAATGTCCTCCAAATTTCACACCTAGTAAATCACAAACACAGGGTTAAAATTATATGTGAGATTCACAAACAACTTTTGTCCGCGTGTTTGTGATATACCCCCTCCGCTCCTAAATCATTACTCTTTGCGCAAAATGAAGTAAAATTTAATTTTTTTTCAATTTATTTTATTTAAAGATTGATATATAAATAAAAAATAAAACTTACGTACTTAAAAACAAGAGGTGACAAGAATATTTTTTTCCATCAAATATTCAATGAGTATACTCAAATAAACAAAAATTTCTGCAATTTTTAAATAACAAAGTATGTAAATCATTTATAGACGGTAGGGAGCACTTAATTTGCAAGTTGATGCACAAATTTAGCGTGCCCCTATCTTTTTTCATTGAGCAATGCTAGAGGTACACCAAAATTGTACTACATTTGTCCCCTACCCCTTTCTCTACCACTCGCTTTTATTTTATTTTTATTTATTTATTTATTTTTTTGACTCTCTTGCCCATTTATGTGGACAAGAAGGGGGTGAAAGACAAATGGAGTACACCTTTGGAAAGGTGTACCCTTAGTATTTTTCTTTTTCATTACCGCATTGCCTAACCTCGTACCCATTATATTTGGCGCGAGAAAATGGCATCAAATGGGCCCATTTTAATCCAACGAAAATGTGGGGGACAAGGCCCTCACGGCCCACGTGAAGGGCACACTACAATTGGACAAGTATTGTTCTTTGATTTTAACTATCTACCATCACATCATTGTCCTTTTTCATTAACTCCCTCACACCCAAACCCAATTCAATACGAACCGGTGTTTTTTTCTTCTTCTTTTTTTTTTAAATTTTTTTTTTTTTTAAATATGGAGCAATTCTTTTTTCAATTTTATAAAGACTTTATAAGTTATGATCTGATTTAGTTTGATTATAGTTGTATACAAACTGTTCCAGATCTGATCTAATTTTAATACAAATATATAATAAGCAAGAAAAAATAAGTTAGAGAATAAGCTCTTAGCGAGTCATATTGTGAGATTAACTTCAATCTCTCATTAGGTCCAATCACAATTTAATTAGATCAATTCAATAAGAGTATATGAGATGCACGACCTTAAAAAAAGAGTAAGTTCTCAAACAGTCTTTTCTAATAAGATATTTTTCGAAATTTGCTTTCAATAAACAATAATTAGTCCTTTGTAATTGAAAAGTATTTCCTAAATAGTCCCCCATAAAAAATGCCTAATAAATGACATTTAAATTAGAGATATTTTATATTTTTATCATCTAAATTATGAATAAGTCCTCAAAATGGTCCTTTACAATTAATTGGGTGGCTGCTAGAGGAACGAGTCCACAAGAGTAGGCTCATGTGGGGAAAATAATTACTTAGAAATTATCATTTTGGAAAAATATTTAATTATAAAGTAGCATTTTGAAAACATATTTTAGATCTCTAGATAATAGAAAATACAAAAATACATTCTATTTGATTGTCATTTAATAGACACTTTCGATAGAGGAATATATCTCAATTATAAAGGTCTATACTGATAATTATTGCTTATTAGGGACTAATTTTGAAAAATACTTTATTACAAAGGATCATTTTAGAAATTAATTTAAAAAAATAGGTCAAAGTAGTTCATTAGATACCAAAAGTCAAAACAAAAAAATACAATGCGATTCAGATAGCATTGGTCCCAATTGGGATCCTTATATTGAGATGCCTATGATGTCTGATTCGTAAAGTTGATGTTTACAACTCCTCCTAACCTCTAGAGTAAACCTCACTCCCGCCTGGCACGAACTCATCACGCCTTACTCCCAACTTTGATTGAATTTAAGGTCAAATTTTTTGACCCCAAAGTCCATTCAAATTGAGGGTACAATTGAAGGGGAGAGAGGTGTTGGGTTCGGGTCGCTTGAGTTGAGGGATTTAACGGAAGATAAAAGTTATCAATTTTGCAAATGAAATTGAGGGTACAATAGAAGGGGGAGAGGTGGTGGGTTTGGGTCGATTGAGTTGGGGGATTTAACAAAAGGTAAAAACCACCAATTTTGTAAATCGAACACCATATGTATTTCAATTAAGATCAATCTTTTTCGATGAGGACTAAGCTATTTATATCTCAAGATTTGTATTTCAATTTGTACACCGCAAGTTTGTACCTTCATTTTGTGTCAATGTAATGTTAGGGTGATAGTCTACACAAATACAAAATATCGGTCCAAATTTTTATTAATGCACCATTATTTTGTATCAATGTGAAATATCAAAATGTTAGTGTATACTTTGATATAAGTTTGAGCTACATTTGGTATACCTTTGTGTGTGAAGCATAATTATTTCTATTTTTTTTACGGAGTAATAAAGAAAGAGCAATAATTATTGTGATTCCTAAGCAAGTGAGGGGGAAGTACGTCGTATGAAGAATAAAAGTCAAAACAAAGAGATGGAGGAAGGAAAATCACAGAAACCAGAGGACCAAAGATGCAAACTGTCATCTGAAGAAGAAGAAGAAGACGACGAAGACGAAGAAGAAGAGTGTAAATTATTGGAGAAGGAAGAACTTCCCCTGCTCCGCCACACAATTTCTCCACCAATTTTCACAATCCAATTCTTCACCCAATGCAATGATCCCTAGAGCAAGCTACTGCATTTAGGATAAAAATCATTTCTTTCTTTCTTTCAGGGGGACAATGGCTGCGGAGCCTGAGATTCAGAAATCCCTATCTCAGTCAATGGCTTCCCAGTCCTCTGGGTCGACCAGCAGCGCCAGCAATCGGGGCGAGCCGATGAACATAGTGGTGGCTCAGTACCCGGTGGATGCCAAGCTGCATGCGGTGTTCGAGCAGTCTGGGGAGTCGTTTGATTACTCCAACTCCGTGAAGAGCGCGACGGGCTCCGTCCCGGATGAGCAGATCGTGGCCTACCTCTCGAGCATCCAGAGGGGCGGCCATATACAGTCGTTTGGGTGCATGATTGCGGCGGCGGAGGAGGGGTTCGGGGTCATCGCTTACAGCGCGAATGCACGCAAGGTGCTCGGTGTAATGCCCCACAGCGTGGATCAGCTCGTGATGGGTGCGGATGTGAGGACCCTCTTCACGCCTTCCAGCGCTGTTCTCCTCCAACGCGCATTTAGGGAGCAGGAGATCACGTTGCTGAACCCAATCTGGGTGCAGTCCAAGAACTCTGGTAAGTATTTCTATGCGATTTTACACAGGGTTGATGTTGGGATTGTGATTGACTTGGAGCCTGCCAAGGGCGAGGACCCTGCAGTGTCCCTGGCTGGGGCAGTGCAGTCCCAGAAACTCGCCGTGATGGCCATTTCCCGCTTCCAGTCGCTCCCCGGTGGGGATATTAAGCTTCTCTGCGATACTGTGGTTGAGTCGGTGAGGGAGTTAACGGGTTATGACCGTGTTATGGTGTATAAGTTTCATGAAGATGAGCATGGGGAGGTTTTGTCTGAGAGCAAGAGACCGGATTTGGAGCCTTTCATTGGCCTACACTATCCAGCCTCTGATATCCCTCAAGCATCCAGATTTCTGTTCAAGCAAAACAGGGTAAGGATGATCGTTGATTGTCATTCCTCTCCAGTCCCCATCATCCAAGACGAAGCTCTGCCGCAGCCATTGTGTTTGGTTGGCTCAACTCTCCGAGCTCCACACGGATGCCACGCGCAGTACATGGCGAATATGGGATCCACGGCCTCTTTGACACTCGCCGTGATCATAAACGGAAACGACGAGGATGCTGTGGGAGGGAGGAATTCAATGAGGCTATGGGGTTTGGTTGTGGGCCACCACACTACCCCTAGATGCATCTCGTTCCCCCTTCGTTCCGCCTGTGACTTCCTCATGAAGGCCTTTGGGCTCCAACTGAAGATGGAACTCCAATTGGCATCACAGGTTACCGAGAAGCATGTGTTAAGGACACAAACACTTTTGTGTGACATGCTCCTTAGGGGCTCCGCCGTGGAAATTGTCACCCAAAGCCCAAATATTAAGGACCTTGTGAAATGTGATGGGGCCGCACTATACTACCATGGCAAATACTACCCTTTAGGTGTGGCACCTACGGAAGACCAGATAAAGGATATATGTAAGTGGTTGTTGACTTTCCATGGTGACTCAACCGGTTTGAGCACCGATAGCTTGGCTGATGCTGGGTATCCTTATGCATCCTCACTGGGTGATACAGTTTGTGGGATGGCCGTTGCTTATATAACACCTAGAGACTTCTTGTTCTGGTTTCGGTCACGAACTGTGAAAGAGACTAAATGGGGTGGTGCTGTTCATAGTCCGCAAGATAAAGATGATGGGCAAAGGATGCACCCTCGATCTTCATTCAAGGTGTTTCTTGATGTGGGTAAGAGGTGCAGTCTGCCATGGGAGAATGCAGAAATGGATGCGATACACTCTTTGCAGCTTATCCTACGTGATTCTTTTAAGGATGTCTCAGGAAACAATCCTAAGGCCGTTGTGGAATGGCAAGGGGCAGATGAGCTTAGCTATGTTGCTAGAGAGATGGTTAGATTGATAGAAACTGCCACGGCTCCTATATTCTCTGTAGACACAGAGGGACGCATAAATGGATGGAATGCCAAAGTTGCTGAGTTGGTCGGGTTGTCAGTTGAGGAAGCATTGGGAATGTCATTAGTTCGCCACATTGTTCACAAGGATTCACAAGAAACTACCGAGAAGCTCTTGTTTAAGGCTTTAAGAGGTTATTCCTTTTGTTTATGTTTCATTTATCCACCCTATCATGTATATAAGTATGTAACCCTTGTGCAATATCTTCAATAGCATTTATATATGATCCTTAGTATGGACTTATGACTCCCAATCACTTCATTACTTCGTTAATTTGAGTTTTTGATTCATCGGTGATATTGAAGCATGCAAAATCTTTTCGTGCAAACTTGGCTATAACCCTAAAGCTAAAATATTACAGGCGAGGAAGACAAGAACATAGAGATGAAGATGAAAACATTTGGCACTAACCGACGTACAAAGGCAGTTTTTCTGGTGGTCAATGCTTGCTGTAGCAAAGACTACACACACAAAATAGTTGGTGTCTGTTTTGTTGGTCAAGATGTCACAGGACATAAAATATTGGCTGACAAGTTTGTTCGCATACAAAGCGATTACCAGGCAATTGTGCATAGCCCCAACCCTCTGATCCCTCCCATATTTGCTTCAGACAAGAATGCTTTTTGCTCCGAGTGGAACACAGCCATGGAAAAGCTTACAGGGTGGGGCAGAGAGGAGATGATAGGGAAAATGTTAGTTGGTGAGCTTTTTGGAAGGTTCTGCAGACTCAAGGATCCAGATGCTATGATGAAATTCATGATCGTATTGCATCATGCCATAGGAGGGAAAGACACGGAAAATTTCCCTTTTTCCTTTTTTGACAGAAATGGAAAATATGTCCAAACGCTGTTGACAGCAAATAAGAGAGTGAGTTTGGACGGAAAAATTATCGGAGCATTTTGTTTCTTGCATATTTCTAGTCCTGAAGTCCAGAGTCAAGGAGGAAGCAACGACCGGTCCTCTAAGAAAAAAGAGATGGATTATATATGTCAAGAAATTATAAACCCGCTGAATGGTATACGCTTTACAAACTCGTTACTCAAGTCTACGAATTTGACCCAACCTCAAAAGCAGTTCCTGGAGACTAGTGATGCTTGTGAGAAACAGATGTCAAAGATTATAAAGGACAATGTTGGCCCCAAAAACATTAAAGATGGGTAAATATCTGTTATTGGTTACGCTAGCCAGAAAGTCTGTCAAAATGATGATTAAAAAAAAGAAGCTTTTTCATCTATGATCTGACTTCAACAAGATACACTAAGACTTGGTCTCTTTTTTCATCTATGATCTGACTTCAACAAGATTCACTTAGACTTGGTCTTCTTTTTTTGAACAGGTCACTGGAGCTGGAGGAAGAAGAATTTTGTCTTGGGAGTGTCGTAGATGCAGTTGTGAGCCAAGTAATGGAATTGATAAAAGAAAGAGGTCTGCAACTTATAGATGACATTCCCGAGAGAATTAAGACACTGGCAGTCTATGGCGATCAAGTCAGAATTCAACAGGTGCTGTCTGAGTTTTTGCTTAACATGGTACACCATACATCGCCTCCCAAAGGATGGGTACAAATCAGTGTGCAGGCTAGTTTGAAGCAGATTTCTGATGGAGTGACTGTAGTTCAGATTGAAATCAGGTGTGTTTGGCTCTAACTTCATCCATCTTCGTCCTTGTATGACTTTATATTGAGTAAACTGCAACATCTTCTGCCACGACTTTTCTGTTCAGAAACCGTGTGAGTGCGCTTCCTGTGTCTCCCTTTCCCAAAAAAAGGTAATTCGCCAAAAATGGTCATGCTTCAACTAAAGAATGCCCATTTTTCCTTATAGTTTTCCACAAAAAAAAAAAAAAACTAAAAATACATCATGGACAAGTAGAACAATACACTTAGGGAACACTTATTTTCTTTGGCATTGTAATGATGACATTAATATATGCTTTAGACTTCTGAGACTATCCCTAACAGTTTGACAATTTAGCGTTTAAAAACTGTTTATGAGCTTTTGCTTCATTAAAATATTGTTTGTCGTGTTTGCGAATATGCTTCTGTGTATAGATTATGACTCAGAAGTGCTTTTAAGCAAAATTAATAATATCTGCTTTTTGCTTTTACTTAAGACTTCTGCCTTTTCAACAACCTACCGCACTCCCAAACACCCTCGTAATATCACATTCCATGAACCAAACTGTATATATTCCCTTCCATATATATCAGGTATACGATCTCCTTCATTTAACGAGTCCTCTCTGGTTTCATTCTTGTTGAAAAAGGCTTGCCTGCCCAGGTGAAGGCCTGCCTGCAGAATTGGTCCGCGAGATGTTCCATACCAATCAATGGGTGACTTCAGAAGGATTGGGATTGAGGAGGTGCAGGAAAATACTGAAGCTAATGAATGGGGAAATTCAATATGTAACAGAATCAGAAAAATGTTGTTTCATCATCACCCTCGAGCTGCCAACGTCCAAACGAGGCACTAGAAAGCGTTTTATAGTTCTGTAGCAGCGGTGAGAAGGATATTCTCCTCGCGCCAACGTTATTTAATCAGCATTTTTCTCTGTACTAAATTAGCTCTTTGATTCATTTTCAAAAAAAAAAAGGTAGCTGTTTGTTTTTTTTTTTTTTGGGAAGATACTTGTGATGATATATGGATTCAGTTTGTATAATGACAGTGAAATCCCACACTGAAATGATCAAAGTGTAACCACACTGAATGATGGAACCACACTGTAAACTGTAGATGAAATTTTTCTGAGATCACTTTGGCTTTTTTTTATTATTCAAAGCTTTGCAAAGTGTATCTTTTTTTTCCCTTCACTTTCTGCATATTGAACTCATTTTCCCCTTCTCACTTTGTCAGGTTTCACAATTTAAAAAAAACACATTTCTTCTTTATTTAATTTGGCACGCTTATTAAAAAAATTAGGATCGTATGGTTGCTGTTTATCTAGAAATGAGAAAAAACCAACATCATATTCACTGTCGGCGATGACCCAGCCGGCGTTTGGAAGAGGAGTGGAGTCAGATCCAGCGTCATCCGACTCACTCTCTCCGTCCTCTATGCATGAAACTTCCAAATTTTCATTCTCTCCGCCCTCAAAGCTCGGATCTTCAGTGTTCATCCTGTGGGATTGAAGCTCAGTTTCAGGGATCTGAGATTCAAAACGAAATTTTACAGAATCTATATGAAGGTGGACCGATAAAGCTTAGATTTAAGGTTTTATGAAAGATGGAATTCACAAAGACACGGAGAGAGGGCAAGGATGAGAGGCGCGAGAGAAGCCAGAGATAGATCTAGGTATTAGAGGAGGCGGAGAAATGTGAGAACGGAGGAGAAGAAGAGATTAGGCCAAAATGAGTAGGTGATGACGAGATAAGGTTGCGTAAATGGGGTGGGTGGCGTAATAAATAATTTGGGGATATTATAGTTATTACGTGTTCATTTAAGCTGTGTGGGAATAATTTTAGGATGACAAAAAAAGGGAAGTGGGAAAATGATTTTAGAACGAAGGGAGTATTTATTTCCCTAATAAAGAATTAGAAATAAAATATGGGTTTTTTCTCTTCTTATTTTATAGTTTCTTGGACATTTTGTTTTCTCTAACCAAAGAAAAAAAATCATATTATTGTTTCTTTTTTTTTCTCTTTTGAATTCCATGAACTAAATATCTTTCTTTTTTGTTGCATCGGGACATCCACAATGGAAGTCTTAAGAGAGTCTTAAGACTTTCTTCTTCAGATTTTACTATTGAGGCAGATAAAAAGTAAAGAAAGTCTGAAAGAAAGTCTTTAAAATTCTACACTGAGTTCCAAGACTCTCAACTCAGCATATCCAATGAAAATCAAACACCTATGCTAAATAACACTTACTCCATATTTTCTAAAATAAAAATTAGTTACAATTTTTTTGTAATAAACACAAAAAATGATAATTTAAAAAAAAAACTAACAATGTTTTAAAAGAAAGACTCTCTATGGATAAAATGGATCCACACTAGATACATCAAGAACGGGGGATCTTTGGGAACTCTCTCCTAGATCTTATAACTGCTACCATTGGAAAAAGATTTTGAGCAATAGAAAATGGTTTCAGGACATGCCTAGGGAAAATGAGTATACAATGGAAGAGGGGTACAATTGGCTTATTGGAGAAAGACAAAAGCCTACATGGGTGAAAGCTAGTTTGGAACAAATATAGTCTGCCCAAAAGGTAGTACAACAAGTTGAGGTTTTTTTTGAAAGGTAAAAGGGGTAGTTTATAGTGGTTTTGTTTTGTTTGCTTTGATACAGTAGAGTTGAGGGCAGTGCATTTGGTTTTGTATGATTGGATGTATTCTTTATGGTTGTTTTTAATGAGAAGTGCATTTTGTTAAAAAAAAAAAAAACCATGTTTAAAAAACCAAGAGCAAAAAAAATCCATATGCATAAAAAAACAATAATATTTGTTGTGCTTTTATTTTTTCCTTAACAATTTACAAGTTATGTGTGTTTACTTGTGTAATTTTAATGAAATATAATGTACACGTTTATGATAATTATCGCTAATTTTAATAGATACTACCTCTGTATCTGAGTATTTGTCTAACTTTGACTTTTTTCGATCAACTGTTTTTAATTTTTGACCTATAATTAAATAAATATATATTGTATATTAATTAGATAAAATAATATTTTAAAAATATTTGATATAATGATTCTAATAAAACTATTTTCATATCAATATTTAATATCAGTTTTATTTACTTTGAAGTCAAAGTTTAACAATTTTAATCAAAAAAGACGAAAGTAAAAAAATACTAAGGTCAGAGGGAGTACTTTGTAAAATTTTGTGTTGTGGAATTCTTTAAATGGTCATTATTTTTAGAAATAAATTTCATAGAAAAATCAATATGTAATACAATCATATATCATGTAACTTATTTATTATAAATACAATTGTTAAAATTAAAGATAGTGAAATACTAATTTGGCAAAGAGTGAGAGAGTCCAAAAGTTGGAGTAAGTGGAGTGCAATTGACAGGGTGGGGGTGTGCTCGGGTCGGGGTGGGGTAGGGGGGTTTACTGGGGGTTAGGGGGTAGAACCGTCAATTTTATGAATGAGACACCAGAATACCCTTGGGTCATCTGATGACATAAGTTCCAATGTCATGAGAACCCCACCATTTATCGAAAGTCTAGAAGAGTTTGAAATAGTGAAAGAGCCTCAAAACTACTTGCATTGAGGATGCCCTTATGTACAATGGGAATGTGAGATACCAAGTTTTTTTGTAAAATGACGAGAGATTTATCATTTAAGAATATTTACAAAAAATGAGATAATTTTATAAATGATTTGATTAAAACAAAAAAATGTAAAAAGAAAGATGTTTAAAAATAAATAGATACGACTTATTTTTTTATTTATAAACAATTTCAAAATCAACATACGTACCATCATGAACCGTCACAACAACGACGAAAATAACTAAGTCGGTATTATCCCAACTCTATTCGAGTCGTGGGAGGTCGAAATGGATGCAACCATACTCAATAAAAATCAAAGAGATTAATTCCATTGAGATACATTTACTACCCAAAACACGGTAGAAGGTACCGTAGTATAATGCAATGACAGTTTAATGCGTCATTTATATTTCATCTATTATTTTCACAAAGCAAAAACGATTGTTTGATGCAAAATTAAATTAAGCAGAGAATCAGAATGGGTTGAGTGTTTAATCAGAATGAACTATCTCTATCTCTATTCGGATGCGCTCTTTGAATGGAAGGAAGCATTGTGCCAAACATAAGAATACCTCAAATGCCAGGACATAGTTAGAGACAGAATACATGGACAAGAAGATCATCGTGAGGAGGGCAAGCGCTACACGTTTGCATTGAGCAAGTGCCGTATTGCAGCAACTGCATCGCCCTTATGCTCTCGCAGTGTCCTCTCGGCAACCTTCCTGTCAACCTGTCCATCACAATTTAATCAGTCACTTTAACCCCCCCCCCCCCACACACACACACACACAAAAGGTTGGCCAGAGGATCATCAATAAAGGAAAACATGCACTTCGAGTAAGCATCTCAAATAAGGGTTGGAAGAGCGCTACCAACTCTCCTAAAACCAATTGGTGTTAGAAGAAGCACATACCCTAACCTTATAGTGCATTTTAGCCACGGGACAACTGTTGCACACATGGCCAACAACCTATAGTTGAGACACCCTTGCTCAGCCAAGAAATGTTTTTTGATGCATTCAAACAATGGTTTTGCTAAAGAATGTCCCAATAAGTGTTGTGTGCACCTCTCTCTGCTTTGGCAAAAGAGTGTGGGGCCAATAAATGCATCTTTTCACCCCAAAAAAGTGAAAATAGAGGTGCAATAAATGCATTTTATCAACGGTTCAACCTCAGTTATTAGCAAAATCCTAAATACACAAACCAACCTCAAGTTCATTGGCAATTACATCAACATCACCAGCATTTATCTTGACAGCCGCTAGGTCATTCTCCCTGTACCGGAAATACATGCAATACATTGTTAATCTAGTTTAATATGAATCATTTACAAAATAAGAGTAACATATTTTTGAAAACTCTCAGTGTACTCCCTCTATCCCGCTAGAAATTTCCATATTTGACTTTTTTAGTCAAAGATGGACAACTTTGTTTAACGCTTTTACTTAACACATTTTGATTAAAATCATAAACTATGTACCTTTCTGGAAGTACTTTTAACAATTTTTTATAACTTTTATATCATGATTCATTTCCCATTAAAAAAATTACTCTATAGTAGTTAAATTTTAAAACATTTGAATGGAAAATCAAATGTGGAAGACCCCTGCGGGATGGAGGTAGTAATATACTGTTAATTTGGATAGATTAGAAAACTCCCCATCTGTAATCTAGCTAAAAAAACATTCACTTGCCACCTATATTCTAATTATCTACATTGGAGTAAAGACTTGCCAGTTTAGAAGTCTCCAGCAATAGGCTGCTAAAATTTCCAAATTAGTTTTTTAAACACCCTTCTTGACTAAGGATGTGTATGGAAGCATTAATTGGCTTATCTTGTTCATTGTTCGCAGAATAATAGCATTAATTGGACTAAACTCTTAAGACATCGGGATTTGGAGTCTCCAACAATAGGCCGCTAAAACTTGCAAATTGGCGATATTTTGTACACCCTGTTCTTTTGAGTTGGAAAAATTAACTTCCAACTTCTTCCAACTCCTTCCGGTTTCTTCCAACTCCTTTCAGTTTCTTCCAACAACTACTTAAAAAGGTATTTATATATGATTAATATAAAATAACATTATATATCCAAATTTATAACATATCACCTCAAACACGAACAATGATGAATTCTTTTTTATCCAAAATTAGAGTTTCTTACATATTTATTTGGATGATCATTTAATTGAGTGATTTTTTAACACTTAAATTCTTCCAACATTTTCCAACTTCTTCTAGTTTTTTCCAACTCCTTCCAGTTTTTTCCAACTCTTTTCAGTTTTTCTCAACATCCAACTCTGAAATTCCAACCTAAATGAACAGGGCCTAAGGCTGTGTATGGAAGCATTTTGCCAACCTTTAGGTTCAGGAAGATATTTCATTCGTAGGAATCTCCACTCGAGAAAGACAATTCACGGAAGCGCCTGATGGGATCCGGGATAATTTGTCAGCTTCACTTTACATGGAAAACCCTCATTCCTATAGTGAGGGCTTGGTTCCTCCGGTGGTGCTTCCATGGGCTCAGGAGATATGAAATATCTTCCGGCAGTGAGTGTCCCGCATTGCCTTCCAGACTTGGCCTTCCTGGGGCCTTTGAATGATGGCCTTTCGTCAATTATTCACGGTCCTCCCACTGAAGAACCCTCACCCCATTCCCTGATGGTTGGTCTACATACTGCTTAGCATAAAGTGGCCTATCTTGCTCGCTCTTAACAGAATAATAGCATTAATTGGACTAAAGACTTGGGGGGTTTAGAAGTTTTCCACAATAGGCCGCTACAACTTACAAAGTGTTGAACTTTTATACACCTTTCTTGACTATGGCTGTGTATGGTAGCATAATTGGCTTATATTGCTCATTCTTTGAAGAATAACAGCTTTCGACTTACAGGGCTGGAAGTGATTTTACCACGCATTCCCTCCCAACAAATTTAGGAGGCCTGACATTTCAGCTAAATGACACTTACCAAATGTTCTAATTGTCTTGCTTGTGGCATTTTATTTTTATGCAAAAGGAGTAGTTAAAGAGAAAAAAGAACAACCTGGGGCAAAAGCTGTGGCATGACATATTGACATGGTTCAAAACCCTTAAGCCCAAATATACGCAACCTTAAATTACACTCCCTCCGTCCCATAATTATGTACACATTTTGACTTGGCTCGTTTTTCTTTAAAAAATGAATACTATGTTGTTGGAATTTGTTTAGAGGATAGAGAAATGATTTCAACCACCAAATAGTGGAACAAACTTCTGGGAGGGCCGAATAGGACAGAAGGAACAAAAGTATGAGATGGATGTAGTATATACAAATATCATACCAGTATTTCTTTTAAGTGGGTAATTATGTCTGTGACCGTGACCTCACATTGTAACAGCTTAACCACTTAAGTTAGATTCCTTTCATGCAAAGTAAGGTACTAAGATGAGGTAAAGCTGGAAAATCTTAGCGTCTTAAGCTGTCCATGAAGGGTGATTTTAGTTTTTTACATACATAATGCCATAATGGAAATGGCACGAAAAGGAAAACTCAATCTACAAAAAGACTGAAGCGTGGTTCTTAGTCTACAAAGAGAACTCAATTTCATATTCCAAACTCCAGACTCAAAATTTTAGTTGAAATTTAAAATTACTGCTGTATTAAAATTAAGGGGGGAAAGAGCTAACCCTAAATAGTCTTGACTCATAGTATCCACATTGGACATCTTCAGGTTGCAATTGGAATTTTAAGCAAAACTTTCCCTATTATTGCCTACCTTTGACAATCTAAGGTTGCAATTGGAATTTCAATTTTCAAGTAAAGTTCATTCAGAATTTCCATCATCTCCGATGGAGCCAAAATTTCACCATTTTTTGGCTTTGGGGTGTGATGGAATAAATCAAAATGGATCTCTAAACTGTCTGCGCTTCTTTAATTAATGAAGTAGCAGTTAGTCAAGCAATGCAACTTTCGATGTTGAGCCGGGGGTCTCTTTGGAAACAGCCTCTCTACTTTCAAGTAGGGGTAAGGTCTGCGTACACACACCCTCCCCAGACCCTACTCTTGTGGGATTTAACTGGGTTGTTGTTGTTGTTGTTGTAAGTAAAGTTCATTCAGAAAGCAATTTAATGAGCCTAATTGGCATTGCTTATTTAATACTCCGTAGCCAATATTCCAATAAGCTAGTGCTCATTCAATAAGGATTAAATATCTTTTTTTTTTGAATTTAGGATTAAACATCAAATTAATGCTTATTCAAACAAGCATCTTGAGAAGAAATAAGCATCGAGATGTGATTGGAGAGGCAATGAGCAGGAATGCCAAATTAGCAAGAGTTGTGATTGGATAAGCATTAAGCAACAAGAACTTCACAATCGCAATGCCAAACATGGCCATCATCATCTCTTGCATGTAAAATCAATAAAAGAGTTCAAGAGTTTAGAGGGCATTTGCTTTCAACTAATGAAAAACATAAGATGATTTCCCCCTAAAATGTATGGTTTAATTGTTGATTGGGGTAAATGGTCTGCAGGAAAACTCAATTCCAACCGTGGGAAAGAAAAATAACATTCTGAAAGCACCATGAGCTTTGTTTTATTTGTGGATTTAAAAGGCAAAGCAATGTATCCAGTGGAATAAAAGTAACGAAGTTAATGCTCCACACGTATAATCAGCTTACCTCATTCTCATAACTTGAAGATCAGCTTCCTTAGCTGCAGAAATTGAAGCCATAGCCTAAACAACGCAGATTAAAAGCTATGATGTACAATCACTTGTAATGAATACATGAAAACCTATTTTCTTTTACAAATTGGGGGCGCTTGGTATGAGCATAAACAGGGATACCGATTGGACGCGCGAGGAGTCGAGCTGACGATCTTCGACATGATCGGTCAGCTTGTCGAAGGCTTTGCTCTGCTGCTGCATGTCTTTGGAGTCCAATATCTCTATTGCTTCGTCTCCGGCCTCCATTTTTCTGCTCTCTTCTACTGCTCAATATCGCCGCCGCTGGGTTTTCGAACAGATGAGTCAAAAGAGAGAGCCCTGATGCCTGATGGTATAAATAATGTTTGGGTTGTTCTCCGTCCATAAGGTGTTTTACACTTTTTTTTTGAAGTCGGTGTTTGACACATTACTTAAATGGAAAAGAAACTTTAAATTTTTTTAATTTATTTATTTTAAAGATTAGTTTAAAAAATCACACACTTATAATTGTGGGAAAAGAGGTAATTTTTTATGTACTGAGTAGATTTTTAGATATGTAAGTTGTAGTTTTTATTTTTATACAAAACTGGAAATAAAATCATTTTAAAAGAGATTAAGAAATTGCACGTTCGGAACTCAACAAGAAAAGTTTATAGTTTTAACATTTTCCTCTTTTTTTAAATATTTTTTAACAGTTTCCTCTTTTTAAAAACCCAACCAATAAATTATAAGTAGTCTCATTAACATTTTCCTCTTATTTCTTAACAATGTTTTTTTCAATTCTCTTTATATATTCACAAAGGCTACATTTAAAAAAATCTTTCTAAAAACTGCTTTGTTGGTTCATCATTAATAATTAGAACATCTTTGTCCAAAATAATTTATCCTTCTTGTTTAAAGATCTAAGAAGATGTCTAAGGAATATAAGAAGAGTATTTTGGTTCTTATTTACAAGACTAAGAGCAATATTTAAAGTTGTGAAAACTAGAGAGGTCAAACTCATACGACGAAGTTGTGGGAAAAAGTGGTTGAAAGAGGTTGAGACAAGAGATTTCTATGCAGAGAACCAATTTTGTTTTATGTCAGAAAGATCAACTACAGAGGCTATATACTTGGCGAGGAGAATGAGAGGTAGGTACCAAAGTGATCGAGAAGAAAGATTTACACATAGCTTTTATTGACATGGAAAATGCATATGACAAGATGCTAGACAAAACATGCAACTCTAGAGGGGGTGAATAGAGTTTGTAACAACCTAATCCGTCCATGTCTGCAGCCCCTTTCGGACTAAAATATTAACTTGGTAATCATAAACATTTCAAACATTTTCAACTTTTTTTCATTATAAAGTATTCAGGATAATAACGGAGTAATTTAATGTTGCGGAAGCTTAATAAATCACAATTACAAACATAATAAATTTATGTCCTTTAAAACAGTAATTTAAAATTCACACATCCATCCTGACCATCTCGTCCCATCTCCACCAGGAATTCATCATTTCATTCTTTTTGTTACCTGCGTGTAGCAAATAAAACGTACTACACGCACAACGGTAAAGCTGAATGAGGATATCTAATGCGTCAAACATCCATATAAATTGAATCCCAGTTCATAATCAAATCATTTGATATCATGCACATAATATTCAACTCAAGCATTCATCATTCATGATATTCACAATATTTTAATTCAAGTCATTTCATGATATATACAATATTGAATATTCAGTATTTCAACAGTGCTATTAAATTATTCTTAATCTAAGGCCAAATCATTTTGATAACAAGCTTTTAAACTATTTCTAGTCTAAGGTAATATTTCTAATTGGGCTCTTAAACTATAAATAGTTTAAGGCAGAACACAAGAATGATGATCCACCCTATAAGTCTTGTCAATTACATACCGACCAAATAGTGAACTGTCGAGCGGGTGATATCCGGTTTGGATCCCGTATGTACGTTCTAATCTCAAATTTCTGAATTGGTCACATAGGTATACCTTAGAGTTCTTTTATATATCCTTAATAATCATCAATTTCCAAATGGATATATCTTATAGTTCTTCTAAATACCCTTAACAATACACATTATTTTCATATTCATCGACATATTCATTTCTTACTCATAAATCAATCATTCACTATAATCATTTTAATCAGAATATTCAACAAATTTTAAATCATTAATCGTATCAATCAATAATAATCATCATAATATTTAATAACAGATAGCGACCTAGCGTCAAGTGTTAACACCTTAGCTTACCGTCATGCATTAAACAAGATTTTATTTAAAAACATTATTTTATTCCAAGAAATCACCTTTATATTAATTATAACTCATTGGTATCAAAAATAGGATTTTAGGGCTCGAAAATAACATTTTCAGAAAAATATTCGGGTTACACAGCTTGGGTGATCGATCCAACACCCAGGATCGATCAAAACCGCAGGATCAATCCCAGGTGATCGATCCAACACTATCGATCGATCCACCGTGCTATGTTTTTACTGCAGGTGATCGATCCAGCATCCTGGATCGATAAAAGTATTTTGTTATTGTTCATCGTCTTCTACCTTCGGCCATTTTTTCTCCAACTTCATTTTAGGTCACCAAACTTTAATTAAATTATAAAGAAATATTCTCCAAGGTTCATAGATCATTTTGGTACCATTAATTCATAGGTTCAACAACAATTTTCAGGCTTATGATTCTTGGTTATTCAAGCTTTCAAACACAAAATTCAACCAAACGACCGTCTATGAACGTAAAAGTGATCTATACGAACATTCTAGTCATTAGATATACCTACGGGCTTATCTCGAACTTAAACAGAGGTTTTGGAAATTTTCTAGTGAAACTTCTGGCGATGATTACTCCTAACTCCAACGACCTCGGCGACAACCAACAATATCAGACTACTCCCCTCACTCTCAGGATTCTTATGGAACAATTTTTAAAAAGTTTTGTGAAGGAACGAGAGGAATGAAGGTACCCATTTATAGAAGTTGGGAGAAGGAAGTTGCCAATTCGTGCTGAGTCATTGGTGATTCACCATCGGAGCTTAGTGGATTAAACGGCGATTTGTAGGATTTTACACGCCTCCCTGATTGGGACAAATTTCGGTCCTAGTCGGGGGACACTTTTTGGTCTAACTCTCTCCGAATTAAATTCCGTTTGCACCGTTGTGATCGGACAGTCAAACTCTATTCAACGATATAATTTTTATATTTATTTGTAATACTTTTTTCGACATCATATTTTTAGGTGTTTGACTTTGACAGAGTCTAAATTTATCTAATTGACCTTTATTCAAAAAGTTTCTTACATTTAATTCATATTAATTATTCTCATGATTTATTTTAATAAATCATTTCAAAGTTAATATCATAAATAAATTTCTTTATTTATTTTTATTTAGGTCTGTACTCTAGTTTCCAATACAGATCACACATAAAGTCAACATATTGGATTTATCTCTATGATATTTATTCAGATTATGATATTGGATATCAAAACATGTTTCATTGCGGCCCAAAGCCCAACAATAATTTATTTTAATCAAAACAAATTTGTTTAATTGAAGAACAACTCAATAAAAATTTTAGGGTATGTTTTGGAGCGTTATAAAGTTATTTTTTAGAATGAGCATTTTTCGAGTGTGTGATAAACATAAAGAAAAAAATTGCAGGAAATATGTAAAGAGTAAAGAGAAAGAAGAACACCGCGATATATACTGCTTCAGCACCTTGTGGCTAGTCCAGTCCTCCGATAGGTTCTCTCAAAGGTCCTACTATACTTCAACCTTCAACGGGTGCTTGAAAAACTGATTATAACTCGAGAACTTGAATCTCACGAGTCTCTACTTCTTACAAACAAGACTTGAATCACTCAAGTCTTAGAACTCACAAACTCAAGGAAAATTGAGTTTAACAATACAAGAATGAAGGCTCACACAATTGAGCAAGTAGTGTTTAAATGTAAAATTCTAGTGGATGACAATATATTTGCACTCAATAAAAATATGTTTCTAGCTCTCAAAATAATATTTTGACGATCAAGAATGTAGCAAGAATGAAATGAATGAGAGGAAGAGAAAGGAGTACTTGAATTATTCATGAAATGAAGGAGGAAGAGGGATTTTATAGAGATAAGAAAAAAAAATCTGTTGGGAGAAGAGAAGAGATTGTGAAGTGCACCAAACAGAAAATAATCGATTTATCTAATATAGAATAATCGGTTAGGACCTACTGACTTCAAATCATTCAGCGGACGAAAGGGCTAATCGATAAATTCAGTAAGGAATAATCGATTTTCATTTTGAACGAAATTACCCTCCAACGGATCAGTTTATTAATCGATTAAAAAAGAATGGAATAATCGATTATCAACACAATTATGCGCAAACACGAAGGACCCAAGTCAGGTGCGAAGTGAGAAAGCAGTTTGGCATAAATTGCTTGTTTCCAACAAAAGGAATATGGAAGAGACTCCTCCATTTGTACATTTCAAAATTTATTTTAGAATAAATTTTGAGTGAGGAAAAAGAGATCCAAAAATATATTTGTGTGTCAAACGATGTACAAAAAAAATATTTAAAATATATTTTTCTTAACGACAAAAAAATTGAATATCTTAAAAAGATATTTTAAGAAATTTTGACACGCTTTTTGTAACTGGCCCAATAAAATATTTTTAGACGGGGAAAAAATTATTTTTCAACTAACTCTAAAAATAATAATTTTTAAAGTATAACCCTCAAAAAATAATTGTTTAAGTGAAAAATATGTGTCATCCTTACAAATGTTCCTATGACTCCATAAAGATAAAAAATCTTTGGAATTTTCACTTCACTTCTAAAATCTCCCGTAAGAATTGGAACGTTGAAATATGTCATTGTAAAAATTCTTGATACGCCTTTTTGCTTTTTTGAATCGAAAATAAAATTTTCGTTTGTCGTTGCGTTTGTCCTTTATCAAAACCTGACAAATAATATTAAAGAATATCCAAAAGGGGTTTGAACTCATGTCCAACACAAGGTACCGTGAGAAGTATTATGGAAAGTTTAGAACAAAAGAGTAAGAATTACATAAATTTGTGTGATTAAGGCCAGGCCATGCATGTACGACGACGGTGCTACAGCCAGCGTGTAACACCCCGGTCCGTGTGCCTAGAATATAAGGACCAGTGGATCGGGTTGTCACGAGATTGGCATCCAAATACAATAAAGTCCAAAACACTTTAAAATATTTAATTCAAAATACAATAATTATGTGTTCTTTCCCCTAAAACATAATAAATTCAAATATAATACGGAGTATTAATTAAACAAACTCATCACTTGGCATCCATCCGTCTCCTTATTTCTTGCTGCCCCTACGTTAGCAAGAGAACAAATGCCACACGCTCAGCATTTTTACTAAGTGAGAAATATCTAACATTCGACTATGCATATAGATGAACTCACTACCTCCTAATTTCATATAACATCATACACACGAGTACAACATTAATAATATCACTTAAAAATCATCAAATGAACTCA